TTAAGACCGGTCTTAAGACCAAGACCAACTTCAAGTACCACAACACTGCATGCAGCACTTCTAATTCTACTGTTCAGCGTACCGGGACAAATTTCCAGCATGGACTTTTCCAGTGTTAGGTTAGTCGGCATTTCACTCCCCTACAGCAACTTCCCACAAGAGCGGCAAAAAAAAAAAAAAAAAGATGTATACATCCCTATTTTTCAATCAGAATTGGTCTTCTCTTTTGTCTTCTTTTTTATTATTATTATTATTATTTTTATTGTACATAGACGTATTTGTCATGTGCATGTATCGTCTTCCCCGTGGGGGCGCTCTCGTGCCGCTGTGGGTGTAACAGGGAGAACGAGTTTCCTGGCTCTGGGCATGCGCGGCTCAGAATAAATGAGCTCTTGACAAAGATACATTGTTACGACTCACTTCCTCTGTGATCCACAGGTAGTATAAAGTGCAACTTTTATGGGCCATTTGAGATAATGATTAGTCAATGTTGGGTTTGCATTTTGTAGTGTTGTAGCACAATACTCAAAGAACAGGAAAAACGAAACAAAGAACAGAGTAAAGAACTAGATGTGGATCAGGGCAGGAAAACAGAGAATCCAACAGACAAAGGATCACAAACACACACGACTTCAAACATTACAGAAAACCTTACTGCTTCTCAACACCCTGCACTGAACAATGAAAAAAATGAGAGCTTTTTGAGGGCAGATCAGATGAAACGCATGGAGACGTTAAAGCCATGACTTAAACCTTTGTGTGCAGGTTCTTCTCAATAAAGTAGAATATCTTGAAATTGTTAACTTATAAAAGTATTTCAATTAAAAAAAAATTCTGTTAATTCTAATGACTGTGGCTTGAAGACTTGAAAAGCAACCAATATCCAAAAAGATCAGCCAACGCATCTTAAGGGAGGATTTTGAACCATTACTCAAGACCATGAATCATTTCCAAAAATGCAATCAACAGACCCAACAAGTTCTGACTTCCTTACTGGAAATCTTGCATGGAGATCTGTTTAATCTGAGGGTAATGAAGGTGAATAGCATGAGTCAGTGTGAATACAATAAAAATGGGAGTCAAATAATTAACGAGAAACTAAAGAGGCATCTGCAATGCATTTCTGAAGACTGTAGTAAGACCACAGAGAGGAACAGCTTGTATTTTTTCTAAGATTACCTGTCTGATATTACAAATAGTGATGGTTTTAACAAAGAAAGATTAAGTGAGTAGAAAAAAAATTATAAAAGTTATCTATTGCAGCTTTAAGAATACAAGCTTTTTTCTTTGCTACAAATCATTTAATTTTGTCCTCCACTCTTAAGTTACTTCATTCAATTAGCCACGTAAGGATGGGAAGAGAAAGTATTTTGGACTTTCGACAAAAGTTCCTCATTTCTCTACTTCCTCCAAATCATTCGCAAGGGTTTGGGTAAACCTCAACCTAGTGTTTTGGGTTTAAAAAAAAAAAACTAGACTGAAAAACCCCAGTGTAAAGGTTTGGTAACTTGGAAACTATATCTCCGAGGAGGAGCTGTTCCTCAAAGGAGGCGCACGGTCCACCCCGGTGTTTTGCAGAGCTGAATGGTTTCCATTAGAGATCGAAGGATTTCTAAAACATGATATAATTTTACGTAATACCGCCCCTTTAAAAATGGGGAAAAAAATTGGTGGGATGTCAGAGACCACACATGTTGAAAATAAGGAAACTGGACTAAAAACAGAAACTTACAACAGACGGAAGCTGCATCAACAATGAGACTAACTGAACAAAAGTCGTTACAGAGTTGATGAAAGAACAAGACAGGGGGCCTGACCTTGTACTTGTTCTGACAGCAAATGGGTTATGGCAGTATTTCCTCAGGGTCCACAATACCATGTTTTATATTTTTCCCTGCTGTCTCACATCTGACTAAAATAAATAAATGATTAACAGCCTTCAGCAGCACCCGATGCAATCATCTGACACAGGTGAGCCGGAGCAAAGACACATCTAAAAGAAAAAGTTGGTAACACTTTATTTGAAGGGGGTTGAATAAGACTGACATGACACTTTCATAAACATGACATAACACCTGTCATGAACATGAATAAGCCTTCATGAATATTTATGACTGTTGTCATAAAGCGTCGTTCGGTAAATTTTGACACTTTTAATACATAGTTGACATTATTCAAAATGTCTTTGTTATGACAACTTGACATTAACCAGGAAATCATTACTGTTTAAACTTTACCTTTAATAACATATGGTTACCTGATTTTTAAAGTGCAATCAGTAATACTTTTATAACAAATTTATATCAATAATGATTTATTGGCTGGCCACATCCTGATGGCCTTGTTTGTATATGAAAACACATTCATAGCAAAAGGTAAAAAAAACTCAGTACATCAAACAATGGTCACATCAAGTCCTAACATCTGCTCCAAAATTAAGACCAGTACAAAAAAAAAAAAACATTGTAAAAAATAAACATTGCTAAAGAAAACAGGAAGAAAGGGCGATCATGCATTGAGATTCCAAAAAAGACAGCAACAGATACAACACAGATGTAACGTACTGGTTGGTGGTTGATTGCCTAAGTCACGATACACAAGATACACAGAATTACTCTCATGATCAAACTTGGAAGATGCCACTGGAAGAACTTTGTCACTTCTTTGATTATTGGATGCTATTGTGAGAATGATTGATAATCATAGCAAAAATATTGCATTTTAAGTGTCTGAAATGGATAATTTCTAAGTTGATCTTGTTCAACCCTGCTTTAAATGTTAATATATTTGTCCATTAATTTGGACACCACTTTCAGTTTGTTCAGTGTAGAGTTGCAGGCTCTACGTTTAGCATTGATTTTAGATTAACTCTTGCAGGTCTGTCTTGTAAAACAAGTATGTTTCTCCACCACATTTTACTAAAGTTGATGCGAGGAGCGGCCATTTTGAAATGCAAAGTTAGTCTCACAGCTTGTAACAGGTAGTTGGAGTTGCTCCCACTTTCCAAGGTGAAATGCAACTTTGGAGGGCATTCCAGCTGATTTTTTTAGACTGGGAAGTTGAAATTTCCTAGTTCAGAGTAAAACTGGAATGCAGCATTAGTATGCCAACTTGTTGATAGCAAATGCAATTATTCCTTCTTATTTGAAGGTTTTCAACCCAAATTCTTCAATAAGATGAAAAGACAATTTCTTCATGCATTCTGGCAGGTTAAGGTTAAGGTTTTTTCGAGTTTTGGCAGAAGAGAGAAAAAATAACTTTTTAATAACTTCACATTTCAGACTCTGGTAGAAAGTCTTTGGAGGCAGCCACAGATTAGAGTGATAGCTGATACGTTTTCCATCAAATTGGTTCTGGAACTTGCTCATTACCTGAGAGGTGCCCAAAGACATCAACTGTTGACATGAATAAAACTATTTTCATCCAATCAGAAAAAAATAAAAAGAGGAAAAATATTAAGATATGTTGTATTTTAGACTCAAATCCAGAGATAAAATATTAGCTTAAGGACGTGCAATTTATTTTTTGATGCATTTAACTGCTCTTCTCTTCTCCGAATGCTTCCTCTCAGATCATTTCTTAAAAAGGCTTTTTAAAATACTCCAGTGAGAATTTGAAAACGAGCCATTGCTTCCTCTATGTCAAAGGTACAACACAGAAGTGCATAATACAACAACTTCGTTTCAAGGGTTTGATTATACAATGGCCATTTAATAGTTTTTTCATCACAGTTTTATAAAGGATGCGCATTATTTTACTGTAACGAAGCTAACCAATAAGATGTCAGGATTCCCCAAAGTTTTAACAATCTTTAGTAAATACAGGACGAAAACCAGATCGTACTAGTTAAAACCGAAAAGGGCAAAAATTTTTTTTACATTAATCACGCATTTAACTACACAACCAAATCAATTCAAAAATGAATTCGCACACATTAAAAAAAAAAGAAAAAAAAAACTTACCCGAAGCTGAGGCTGAAGCCACTGCTCGTCTTCCTCCTCTTGGACTAGCAGACAGGTCGCCGAGAAGGCGGCGGAGGATTAATGATTAATCGATTTCCTATGAGTGCACACAATAACCTCCTATGTCGTTTAGCGGTCGTCCACTGCCACCAGCCAGCCTCGAGTGATATATAGAGACAGCATGCATCACGGACTTTAGTCCTGGTTCATCCAGATGCGCCTGCTCAACCTGACCTATTGTCCAGATCTTCCTGCGCGACAAATAAATAAGGGGGGAAGGAATAAAGTAGAAAAAAACAAAACTGAATTCAATTTCTTTTATTTTAGAGCATTTAAAGCTGCATGGAGAAACCAGCCAAGGCTGAGCCAGTAAGAGAGACACTCCACGTCTCTTCCTCTCCTAATACTCTGGGAGGAGGATGGCCAATAAGCAACCTACATTATGAAACACACTCTCTATATAACACATAAAAAAAATACTCGAACGACGTGCTTTAAATGTTTCAAGCTGAATCACGTTTGAATAAACTCTGTTTTCAATGGATTAGATTATTTTTAGTTATGTCTTCCTAAATGTTCTACTCAAAAAAATAGCACACACAAAAAAAATCTAAGCCAACTAAGCGAAAAAGCTCTCAGAATAATTTATGACCAGTAAACTAGGAAATTCAGTAATTAATGAATGTTAGGAAAGTGGCTTCAGTGACTGATGAATGACTGATGGTCCAGAGAATAAAGATACTGGTGACATCTAGAGGTACTCTCTGGTAACAGAGTCCAAATATTTAAACATATAATAGTGTAGTTTTAATCCTTACAAATTCATAACAAAATATTAATTTACAAGGAAGAATTTCACAAATTAAATGTTTTCAAAGAGTGAATTAGCCCCAGCGCTAATTCTCCTTTTTTGTTCTCTTCATTTAATCAGACGGCTGCATTTTGGAGACAAACCTGACTTTGCCAAATAACCACAGTAAACTATTCATCTTTTGGCAGATGCTAAACATACTTTTTATTTGTCACACGTTTATATAATCAAATATTTTTTTTTATTGGTAGGATGTAAATGTTGCAATCTTAAATAGTGTATTTTCATTAGCTGTAAGTGGGAAATTCCCAGTTAACAGAAACCAAAGCTTAAAAATATGTATTTAAATTAAATTCTTTCTAATGTTATAATTTTTCAGAATAATTTCTGACCTATTTGACACCTCTGTTTATTTATATTTATCAAAACTTACACCCTCTTTCCCACTTTCTGCTCTTAAAGTTATTTCAGAATTTGTAATTAATATGTTTCAGCCTCTAGGAAGTCTATAAACTCAATGTAATTTTTGATCAGTTTTTTTTTAAATAATCAGCTTTATTTAGTTGTCTTGTTGATTTAAAACATGTTTCCATGTTAAGTAAAATAATTCACCTTTCAGAACTATTTTGATAGCTTATGAAACACATAATTTGATTTTAGCACCTGTACACATAAAGTGGCCAAGTTCAATTCAGTTGGACACAAAGTCAATAGATCAGAGATTTGTAGATAAAAGAAAAAAGAAAATAGGTAGACAACAATAAGAATAGTTTAATTTCCCCCCGCCCCCTTGCTGTTAACAGGTAAACGTGAATATTCCAGGAAGTTTCCAGAAAGGACATCACATTACAGTACAAAGATGCAGTAAAACCCATCAAAACTACAGGTCAGTTTATTCATTCAACAATAACTCATCTGCTAGAGGCAACAAAACAAAACAAAAAGATTTTAAGCTTCACAGCTGTAGAAAATCTTTGGTCCTATTAGCTTTTACAGGTACATCAAAAATATGCTGTGCTGCTTCATACTGATACACAAACTGGTCGTTTAAATTTGCTTCCTGAGAAACCTGTCCTGTTGAGTCTTATACAAACAAACTTCACTTGACCATTCCTTTCAATCATCAAATGCTTTCATTTATTCACATTAGAGTTGACTGGTTTTAAATGAGAAAACAATAGGATAAAGAAATACCAAACAAGCTCCCTCTGAGGGTATAGAGGACCATGGATGGACCATACATACATGTCAGGTCCATCCATAAACTTTTATTTTAGCAATCCCGAATTATGCAACACCTTGTCCACGTTGGGAATCAATTTTTCCTGAAAATCCCATAGCCTCTTGTCTACACTGAGCTCCTGCAGTTTGGATATGTTCTTCATGGCGTTGCGGATGTGAATGGTCCGACAAATGTCCAGTGGGACTTTGTACATCTGACCAAATAATTGGAGCACATTGTGCACTGATGTCTGCTTCACCATCCTGTGACATCGATACACAAGAGTGAGATGTTGGTCATGTATACAGCACTGTAAAACACACCTTAAATAAAGTGACTCTACAAATAGGAATGGACATACACAGACCTCTAATCTGACATAAAGTAATCAGTGCATCCAGGCTTAGGTAATTCAGGTAACTGTCCACAGATTTCTTTAAGAGATCAGGAGACCAATCAGATATTCACTGGTGCTACAATGAATAAAATATGTGCACCATACCTCACACCAAACGACTATGAGGAATTGAAGCACTTTATACTAAAGAAAATAAACTTTTTGCTGCAATAACAAACAGCGGATCAATTCAATTGCATGCATAAATAGCCTAAATTACAAATTTTCTAACCACTACTCCTAATTTAAAAAATGTCATAATGAAACAATTTAAGGACTTACCTACCATTTGCAAATTTAAACACTTATGAACAGTGGAAGACAATAATGTAAGGTGTGAATCTGACGGCACATTAATTTATGTTATTCTTTTTTTGTTACACATCTCATCAATATTTATACAGAACAAGCATGACTGGACAAATGAGGATCTGCTAAGAGGTCCAGACTAAATATAAGAACATTTTGCTGTATCTGGGAATAATAAGATGGGATAAAATGTTGACTATAACGTACAAATGAGTTTCATTCATGTACTTATTTTAGCTGAGGTGTCTTAACCAAGCCAGGTCACTCGATGTTGTTGAAGATGCATCACAGATCATCTGACGCAACAAGGCGCTTCAGATTAAATGAAGTGTCTTAATTTAATGTGCATTAAATTAAGATGATTTAATGCACATAATAATGTAACAGGTGGTGCCACAGGGTGTTGCTGTTGGCGCAAATCAACTTTAATTGCTTTGTTGAAGGGACAACTTCCTGTTTAACTGTTTGCCCAGCCGTGTTTGTGCAACCACAAGACAGGCGATAAGTTAGCTTTTCAACAGTGCAGGGGATGAGTTGACCGAAATGCACAAAGTAAGCATATCTGTTTGCTTAACGGCACATAAGGCTTCAAAATTCAAGTGCATTATGTTTTATTGTGTTTTTCTTGACTCCTTACTTTGTGTTTCGCAATTTCTGTCACTTCCTTGAATATTTGACTTGTTGGTTGTGACTGATTCTTTTTGATCGAATTTGGGGATTGAATGTGAGATATATAAATGCTCAACACCACAAATTATTGTTCGCTTACAAAAGATATTTACACTCACATCAGTTTCACTGTATACTCAAAGACAACATCGCAGAAATGCAGTTTTTGAGCAAAGTTGTATAAAAAGTGAGAATATTAACCATCTCCCTTTGAAAAGTGTGGGGTGTGACGCCCACAGCTGAGCTCATAAAGTGTAACTTATTAGCAGCTTCCTTGATAGAGGCACAAAAAGTATGTCTATGATGTAATAAGTGCATATTTTAAACATTGTGCAGCATAGACTGTGCATATGTTTAACTATATGCCGAAATGAAAGTTAATTAAAGGTTATTTTAATTTAAGAAGGTTTTTTGCCATTAAACCTACATATTCATCAGTAACATGTCAGCCTTCATTTGGGAGGCACAAAACAGGAGAGGAAGTGTGCTGCCAGGATATCCAGAAAATCCCAGTTTAACTGAGGACTGGTTTAGTGAAACTTCAAACTTACTAAGGTGGTACATGATATAAAAACTACAGGAACCACTGTAGAACATTCCACCAGAGATCACCCAGTGTTCTATAAGCCTGGCGGGCCTCCAGGCTTTACTTGCTCTCCCACCAGGCTAAGAATAGTTTATTCATTTATTATAGGCTTTTCTGTACACCAGATGGGTTAAAGAGTCTCTATGATGAAACGATTGTAAGCACAATGTGAACATGTGAACACAAGAAGACTGAAGTTAAGTGTCATTTTTATTCATCACTTCCTGTCTTTACCGGTTTACATACTTACCAACTTCAGCTGATAAAAGTGACAAATCATGGATAAAGGGAAATTTTGAACACTTTAATTAAGACGGAACAACTGAAGTACAAGTAATTATTTATTTTAATCATATATATTTTTTTATGTATGCCTTTTTTAAAGACTTTTCAGTTGGTTTTTAAGTATTGTTAATATCTTCCAATAACACATAACTCTTATTTTCAAATTTCTTGCCAACTTTTAACATTTTTTAACTCAAAAACGCTGCAAGCTGATTAACCGAGCGCCTCTGCCACCGGGCTTAGCAAGTTTTCTGAGATTAAGACTGAATGCATTTCTCGGCCTACCTTGGCTGAACGATCATCTTGTATGGATGGTAAATCTTTCGGTCAGGGTCTTCTCTGTAAACATGTTCCAGAATATTAATTCCAGGCACCCCGCTCCACTTAGGAAGGTGAAACCTGCCACTTGGTTCAAAGCGATGCTTGGGAAAGATGTGGTTCTCAATGAGGAACACTCCCACCTAAAAAATGCGAATATGCTTTAATAAAAAGATGGGAAACATATTTGGAAATACAAGCATAATGCACTGATAAACAACCTACATTTGGATGCTGCTTCTGCAGCTCGTCCATCAGAGACTTCAGGTTGTCATGCTGATACGGCATGATGATCTCATCTATGTCGTTCAGCAGGACGTAGCAGGAACGCTCCATGGATCTGTAGATGCACTCGTTGAGTGTGGTGAGCTGGCCAAAGTAGTGAATATCACCACCAAAGTCCGAAAAGTACCAGCCTGGCGATGGATTCATGTATTTGTCGATCGGCCAGGAAACTATTTCCACAAAGCCCTCCTGGCTGTAACTCCGCAGAAGACGGTCAAGGTCCGGGCCACAGCTGGTGTTGTAGATCACTACTCTGTTCACACCGAGCAACCTTGGACAAAAAAAGACAAAAATAAAATCACAATATTTCCCAAACATTTTAGAACATAAAGTATTATGGTGGAAACATTTATCATAACATATTATAACTTTAATTTGATGGTTATGTTGTTATCAAAGTTGGGGAGAATAACCAAAAATTGAACTCAAGTAAGAGTAGCACTACTTTAACATATTTTTACTCAAGTTTAAAAAGCAGCTGTCCAAGAAGTTACTCAAATAAGAGCAAAAAAAGGCGGCTCAAGTACTTAGTAACTGATCAAAACATCAATTATTTAATACTTAAAAATTAGACCAAAATATGCTCATGTGGAGATTTTGGTATTTTACAGACCATAATGAATTCATATAAATAACATAATTGCAAAATAAAATCAGGCAAAAAATTTTTTTTTTTTTTTTTTTTTACCAAACGTATAAAACTCTAACTAAAACTACAGGTGTGTGTCTGTGTCTGGTGAATTTTTGGTTAAGCAAGCTTGTTCTTCATTCAGTGAAGTATCCAAAAAATTACTCAAGTGACAATATTGACTGTATGATGTGTTTGTAGTGAGATTAGGTGATTCTGATGGTGGCTGGTTAGGAAAATTGTTTTTCATTTTGATAAAGGGAGATACACTGAATCAATCAGAGAAATGCACATTTTTTGTCTTTAGAAAATCAGAGTAAGTCTCAGAGATCAGTGTGTGAGAGAAGAAAGAAGAAGTGAAACTTAAAACATCCAATTCTTTTTATATATCTTTCCAGTCATGTACACAGCACCTTCCACCCATCTCTGACCCTGTAGGGAGTTTCTCTCAGCTTCTCCCATTTCTGGTTAATTGGTGCCTCTGTCCTAAATCAACCTGGTTCAAAGGAGTTTCGGTGGAAAAGAGAAGAAAAACATCTTCATTGAAACCTCCGTTATCAGTTCTATAAGAAAAACACCTGGTCAGAAACCTTCGCTTTTAGTTCATTCTTCCCATTAAATAAGCCAAATTTGTGTTTGTTTTCTATAAGGACTACAGCATAAACTGTTTCATGGTGAATGGTGTCTGGTATGTTTTGGAGAAAATGTATATGCTTTTGAACAGCTGAATTATTAATTACAGTGTGGTGTGCCTGCCTGTATGTAATTCAAAAAGCTGAGTTGTAAATAGTAAAATTATTCTTCCACTGTGGTTCTAAATATTATTACAGTTGCTCATGAGTTTTGTTAACTATTTCCTGCACTACCTCAGTAAAAATCTCCTGATTTCACCTTTCCTATTGGCCAATCAGTGAACAGCAGTCTATTCACGTCACATTTTGGTCAGCTCAGATCCAATGGTCCCCAAAGAAAGTACCAGGCCAGAAAAATCAGTAATGCAGACTAAGTAGAGTAGAGCTAGGCTGAGTAGTCCCAGTGGTAAAGGAGCAGCGGTTTTAACGAAATTGTAAAAAATATATTTTTATAAATTACCTACTGCAGCTTTAAAGAGTGCTGAACAAGGCTGATTTTACTTAATTAGGTTGATTCTTGCACCATGTTAAACCTTTGAGTAAAAGATTAGGATTACTGACCTGTACATCTCTAGTGTCTGTGCAAACTGCAGCACATTGTTGTAGTCCCCAAACAGATTGGAGATGCACACAGTGAAATCCATCCTTTCCTCCGCTCCTCCGTTAGTTTTCTTGTTCCTTATAGGAAGCCAGTCAACTCTTTTCTCAGGCTTGGGCTTCGTCAAAAGAGTGACATGTGTGGCATTGCATTTTTTAGGAATCCGGCACATGATGTCTGTGGTGACAAATGGAAACCCGAAGTTGTCCGAGTGTTGTAAAACTTTCGTCGGAGTGGTTTCACTTGTGTAGTCGGCACAGCAGAAAAAGCAGTGGAGTTCCTGGATGGAGTCTCTCCGAAACATCCCGATGAGGCGAATGTCAAAGCCCTGTACTCTCTGATCCATGAAGGCTGAGACCAAGAAGTGCTTGGTGTTTTTCAGGGGAGTTATGCTCTCTTTGGAGACTGATCGCGGACAAGACTCCATTGATTTTGGATAAAGCAGTGATTTTGGATATGTGCTGCCATATCTCCTGATAAAAATTACTGTGGCCAATAAAGTGAAGAAGAGGAGAAAGACGAACTTCTTTTTGATGAGATTTGTAATTACCATTGAGACACAGTGGGGATGGGTTTCCTGACCTCAGGCAGAATCTGGAGTCAAGGAAGAAGAAACACATCAGGGAATAACACATCACTTTGTCTGAGCCATACAATGTTATAAATCTGTTCTATAAGGTTTGTTCTAACAATAGCAGCAAAAAAAAAAAAAAAAAAAAAAAATAATTGCCGTTGTGGAGACTTTGAGAGAATTCCAAAAGATAAAAAGTAAGAATTGGTTAATAAAGATTTTTTCCCCATTTCTTTACAAACTCTTTACCTAAGTGAAAAGATGCTATGGAAATGCCTTTGCTGAAAATTATTTTGGTTTCCAACTAATCTCAAGGCTCTACAACAATATTTAGGAGGTTAAAAGTTTAACATTTTCTACTAAGTAAAAATTGGAGTGGGAAACAAATGAGGCAATCTCTAATGATACTCAGTTTCAGCAGTATGCATTTCAGTAGAAAATCTCTAGGTCTAATATATGGCGATGTTTTGGCTGGAACGAGCTGGGTAAATACTTCATGACACCTGTTCAATGTATTAATATTCATGTTAGATGCCTGTATGGTATTTTTAGTTCACTGTCCCAAAAAACTATTCCAAAGAAATGATTAAGCTTAAGTCTTCCATCTCTGGATAATTAGCACTGGATTGTATATGGTTTGTTTACATATATGTACACTGCTCTAAATTTATCAACCAAAGAAAACAACAGCACATGCCCAACTCTCTTCCAACTACATAAATACTTACAAAGACGAAAGAGAGTTTTTTTCAACGTACAAAGCTGTTAAAGTACATTCAGTGTTCACGAGACATGTACTCCAACTGCCGCGCTCAGCACGCTTTTCTGGGTAACACTGCAATATGTACATTACTCTACATTTTATCAAGGAAAAAAGAAACAACACATGCCAAAAGTGTCTTCCAAATACATAAATACTTACAGAAACGAACGTTTTTCAATGTTCAAAACTTTTAAAGTACATTCAGGGATCACGAGTCATTTATGATCTCGTAACTGCCAAATTCTGGTTGGCAAGGTTACCAGAGAAATATACGTCAAAGATAGTTTGCTGCTAAGAGCGCTCAGGCTGCCATATTTCTTTAAATTCAAAATGATAAAGATCGTTTGGAATACAGATGTCACACTCTGATTAAATTTCAAACCCTTAAAATTTTACCCATGCTTAGCATGAATTTAGCCATGCTAACTATGAACTTAACTACCTACGGAGCTCTCCAGGGGACATGGGGATTTTTTTTTTCTTTTACGTTCCCTCGCAAAACTTTTGCGTTCCCTCGCAATACTTTTGCGTTCCCTCGCAATACTTTTGCGTTCCCTCGCAAAAGGTTTTGCGTTCCCTCGCAAAACTTTTGCGTTCCCTCGCAATAATCTACTGATCAGTTCATGCGGCATAATTGATACTGTAAGCCTTTTTTACAGTGGCCGCCGTACTTTCTGCTTTAATACAAGCTTATAAGGTTTTTCCACGGACTATTGAGTTATTATCGGGGGGTAATAAGTCATCTGATTGTGTCTCTATTGTGTTCGTGTCTGAATGGTTTAAAGTGCAGCTTTCAGTGCCGTTCCATCTGAGCCTTAACAGACATAAACATGCAGTAAATAAATCGATTTTCAATCAGTTTTTAATCAGTTTTTTTTGCACCAAAGCGTTAATAATAATAAACACGTTTTCACAGAGGCTCTGTAAGAGCCATATGAATGAAATAAGTAATTATTGATATGACAGGAGCAGCGGCTTTGACACTTGGTGGTGGGCGTGTCGATGTGGGCGTGACGTCATCAAGTACGAATTGGAAGGTTACTGGCTGCTGCTGGCTTTGTGTGTATGAGGAAGCTGGGTGGTCAGTCCTCGCAAAGTTTGGAGCATGATAATCAAAATTAAATAAATCGATAATTGTAATAGCACAAAGTAGAGGTTAGGAGTTGATTGATACACGGACAGATGAGATTCACCGAGTTAACCCAGTGCGGCCCTCTGCCACCATTAGTTTGCTGTGTTTTATAATAATAAAAAACACAGTTTTAAAAACTCCAGTTTTTAACGCTTGTGGAAGTTCTGCTCTCCACCAGCAGATGTCCCCAGAGGTCTATTTTACAGTCTCTGCTATGGAAACTTCCTCTCAGCCATTATTACTATCAGTAGAGGCACAATGCAGTGACTTGTACACTATTTCAATCTAAGTCTAATTGAAAATAAAACAGATGATGCTGAAATGATCTCTTTATCATTATATTATCACAGGTATGTTTAGCTGAAGCTTTAACGAATTATTTGTTTGATATCTTAGCATCATTATGAAGTTACACTCTCTCAAGCGGCCCAACGGCAGTGGCATATAAATTTTCAGAGATATTAGTCAGCTTGCTGCTGCGTTCTCAGCCAGTCACACTGCTTCAAAGTTGAAGCTTCAAAGTAAGCCAGCATCATTCATGCCAGGGGACTGGAAATGTAGAAATATAAATTGTCAAATGTAAGAAAACAGCATGAGACTAAACCACTATTTTAACTCCTGTGAAAATCTGTCAGCTGGCAACCTCCACCCACTAGACGTGATACATTAAACCCTTTAGCATGTATAGAATAGCTTTAACAGACCCTGCATGTCAAGGCTTTTTATGGCTGCCTAGGATCTGTGAGTCACACTGAAAACTAGTGATATGTTTTCACCAAATGTATCAACTAGGACATTTTTGTCTATTTGAAAAACAAAATACTCATCAAAGTGTAAGTTTACAAGTGAAAATTATTCATTTTTTTTTTTTTACCAAAGTCTGGATTTCAAATACAATGTGTGTGGTTTTTTTTTTAAGCTAACAGAATACTGTTTTGTCTTATTCTTTTAAACAAAACCAACTTCTGGCATGCTCAGATCAACCAGATATTTACTAATTCAGAATACTTATAAAATTTAAGTGCCTTGCTGTCATTTATGATCCCACCGCCTTCTCCGTTAATGTAACAAACATTGGGTTGCTGAGTCATGTTTTAAAGAATCCAGTCATGCTAACGTGAGCAATGACCAGGTGTTATATTGCTCACTTTTGTGAAGCCATTGATTTAAATTTTACTGCTTGATTTGTAACTAAAATAAATGTCTACTTCATTTAACAATTTTTTGTTTGTTTGTTTGTTTGTTTGTTTTTGTGTCCTAAATACTTTGATTTACTTCATTCTGGATCAAATTGTGAATATTTATTAGGACTTTAGGTATATTCAACTGTGTGTTTAGTTTCATGTTGATATTTTTTCAGTAAAGGGACACAAAAATATAAGCTATTTTGCGAATTGTTTGTGAGCGGGGCAACATACTTTTAGTTTTGAATATGTGAAGGACTGGCCATTCATTGTTTGAACAGATGTTGGTTTCCTTTAGCCTGTGATTTAAAATTTACTACGTTGCTAAGACATTTGAGCACAAAATGTTCAATTGACTCTTTAACACCTGTCTTTTAATGTCTTGGGTATCACAAAATATGCAGAACAAGATGCTTTCATGACTTTTGTCCTTTTTATTGTTCGCTGACAAAATCGTAGTTAACTTTGACATTACCAAGAATCATTGTTAAAAATTTCTAAGTGCCCCAGCCAAGCAATGTTTCTTTTAATTGTAAAATAACACATTCATGTGAAAATGTACCCCAAATAGCAGCAATAGCTTTATATAAGCAATATTTTGTGGCATTCTTTTGGACATGGAAATTCTTTATTTTTAATGACTAAGAAGGGTTGAAAATGAATGCAATGCCTCGGGGGTTATTGTGAAAAAAAAAAATGTAGACTTGCATGACGCAATCAGCTCTGGTCATTTAAAATGCAACTCAATTTGCTCTGACTAAAACATTCATAAATAAACATAAACATGGGCAAACTTTCCGTCTAAATGCATGCATAAACCTGCACTCAAACGTGTGCAGTCTCAGAATTAGATTTTTTTTTCAATGCAATGCCACAAACAGAAAACATACCTTTGTTGACCAAATACACTGTGCCTTATTTTCTCCTTCTCTCTGTAGTATCCAGATCAAGTTAAACAGAATTACTTCAGTAAGCCGTGTGAACATAGCATCTCTTGTGCATCAGTCAGGTTTCCATGTGTTCTTTGAGTAATAAATTTGAACTGTGAAGGCTTAAAGATGATCCCAGAAGTGAACTTTAAGCCTGAGTACGCCTCTTTTGTGACAAATTATAAATAATGTCTTTTTTTGTCTTAAATTACACTGAGCAGGTTGTGGCGGGCGCTGGCAAAAATCCTGAAACTATTGAGGCATGAAATTCTCTGGCCTAAATGCAACCTCAGAGACCACAAGCCATTAGTCAGCCCATGAGTAGCCAGGGCCAGAATGCACAAAAACAGATATTTTGCAACTTTAGCTGAAGCTTTAGTTTCCAGTCACAATGGTGAACAAAAACAGATCAGACTTTTTCTTTCCCCAGAGCAACACAGTAAACTGCATCTACTTCTCAGAAAACATGGGATGTTTTATTTTTATTTAGAGAATGGATGCTTCCAAAACTGGAATCCTATACAAGCAGGCCTATTGAGACAAAACAATGTTTCCAGGAAAGAAATGGAAGATTTTGCTGGTATAAATCTTTTACCCAAAACACCAAGGCATTCACAAAGAACCCTAAGACTAACACGTAACTCTTAGTGATGGCATTTTGGGGGAAAATACTGAGAATTTCTAAGATTTTTCGCAATGCAAGTTATTAACAACCCTGTATTCACAACCCAAGGTGCAATTTAGAGAGACCTACTAGAATAGCAGTCATATGGGAGGAAGCTGGAGAAACAAGACATGCATGAAGGAGAACATACAAACTACATGCAAAGGAACCCCGGCTTGGGACCTTCTTGGTGGACGGCAACGGCCCTGAAGTGTTTTCCTTCACAATGAAATAGAATCTCAGCCTTTCAGGAAGGTGCCATACAAAACCTTTACATGGACAAAAATGTGCTTTGCTACTTTCCATGAAGTGATTTGTGCTCTTTCATTGATAGTGAAACTTTAAATGGCTGCTGGTTGTGCAAAGATGTTTAACTTCAAGCTTTAATGTTCATTTTTACCAAAGGAATGGCCTGGAATGGGTCTGAAATGACTTTAGTTCTTATAATTCATATTTTAAAGATTGCCTTATTACATTACACCACATCAAAACCCTGACAAAGCTATAAATATGATTGTTTCACTTGGCATCTAGACACTGACATGTCTTCCTGGAAATGTTTTTTTCTTCTTTCAGAAAAGATAATAGATTTTAAAGACTGTAGGACGTTGAGTCGATTGCACTATAAATTTGATTTTATTTCAATGTACTGAAACTAAAAGCACACATTTGCCTTAAAAATGAGGAAGTTATATTTTAATGTGTATACAAAACACCAACAACCTTCATTTTTATACATACACAATATTGTCAAGTTTTAAATTTAAACTAATTGGGCGGTGACAGTGTAATTTAATAAATAGATGTGCTAAAAGGCCAGGAAAGCATTTACAACCACATCTTATTTCCTAATGAGCACAAAGCTTTGAAATATAGCTGCTAACTTGTTTTCAATTGAAAGGTTGCACTCATCCGGACACACACAAAAAAAGATGTATAGTGGGAATCATCTGTTCCTTGCTTCTTCCTGCATGAAATTTTTATCCACCTGCAGGCTCTGAGGGAGCATATCCAATCATTCTGAATCCCACCTGAAAACAATATAAATGGAAAAAGGCTTACACAAGGAGGAAACATAATTTCTAATAACATCCCTATAGCTGCTACAGTGGTATCCATTTTGAATGTCTGTGCGATTCGAGTTGAGCTGTAAAAAGAGGTGTCATTGTTTCACAAAATTATGCAGTTGAACTCAAAAAAGAAAAAAAAAAGAATACCAGAAAACCTACACAGAAGTTGATTAATTTTAACTGGAGTTTTTAAAACTGAAGCAAGGAAAGAAATTTCTACATCCTCTGATTACCTGTTTTTTCAGCTTCCACCACATTTCTTGATGTGTAATAATGAAGAATAACACAAC